GTGGTTCCTTCTATTTTCTTGAGGTTTCTAGCTTTTCTACAATAAGCACAGATATTACTTCCAAACTTACAGAAACAGTTAACAATAAAAGTTAAGTAATTAAAGAATTTTACTTAAAACCTGCACCTCAAGAAAATACAGGCTCCACAATTGTTGCTTTCTTAATAAATCTTGGATTAATGAGTTTTGGGCAGAGGTCGACCTCACAACTCATAGTATAAACTTGCTTTTCCAAAAGCTGGCTATCTGATGAAGAGGGGATCCACTTCGCCAACGGAACTACCCCTCCCCACCCGCCACCTTCCCCAGACATCCAAGGGGAGCATACTGGGGGAATTTAAATTTTTCAGGGGAAAAGAGAGAGCAATCAAAGAAGGCTTCAGGGAGGAGGCCGCATTTGCTATTTGAACAAAAACTGAAGGGAAACTACAGACAGACACTGGGGAGAAGTTCAAGAGGAATAACATGAGTGTCCTGCTTTCCAAAAGACGTCTGGGGGTGTGGGAGCATAAGCCCCACCAAAAGGGCAGGTGGGGGCGATGAGACGTGGACAGAAGCTGGGCATGCCCCGGGGGCTCAGAGTGTTCCAGCCTGGCCTTTACCCCGTGGATCATGGGTCGCAAATGCCAGGAGGGATGACTGAGAATCATCCCTGGAGCTCATCAAAAGTACTAATTCAAGGCTGGGCCCCGAAGACTCTGGTTCAGGAGGTGACGGGCAGGGCCTGGGAGGGATTCGACGCTCATCGAGCTCCCAGGAGGAGGTGTCCTCAGGTGTGGAACAGCTGCTCATCCACAAGGAGCAACCCCTGTTGACTGAGAAGCAGCAGGACCATATGTGTCCAGGGAGAGGCACGGCTTGTTCGTTCAGGAGCAGCCGCTCCAGGTCTCGGGGACAGGAGTAAAGGTCACAAAAGAAGCAGAACTGGCTGTGATGCTCCCTGTCTGGGCGCAGCGGGCCGAGGCCCCACCCCAGCACCAGGAGAGGACAGGAGGGTGCATCACAGGAATATGGTAACTATTTTTTTATGGCGGTGGTGCCAGGAGGTTAGAAGCCCAGGACTGAGCTGAGCAGACCATTCAGGAACCGTCTGGAGGCAGGCACAAGTAGAGGAGGCGGGGGGCGTCCCCAAGAGGAGAACATGGAACCAGACTCAAAGGGACCCGTCAAGTGAGGAGAATCCTGGAACCCACTCAGCAGGGCCGCTGCGCCCACGCGGGGGGCTGCGGGCCTGTTAATTCTGCTCGCCCTGCCCACCTGCCTCCCGGGACTGCCTCTCTTCCACGCCACGCGATTCTGATGGACAAACAAACAACTGGGGGGCTGCAGCCCCTCCAGGAGTGGGTACGTGGCCTGGCACCTCACTTAGTTGTGGGATGGGCGTGAGACCCAAGCCAGGCCAGCCCTGGTCCTTTCCAGGACAGGTCCTGGGGGACTGTCAGCAGCACAAAGTGGACATCATGGCCTCTGTGTAGCCAGACTCTCCAGAAGGAGGCCACAGCAGGAGAAATGGCCAGCATGCTCATGCCAGAGGTCAAGGCCCCAGTCCAGCCGGCCTAGAGCATGCCCTCTCTGGACGTTCAGTTTCTGAGTTTCTGTCACTGGCCGTTGTCCTGCCTAACTACAGCAGGTGCTGAGTGACAGGGGCACTCACTTCCTGCAAATGACAAAAGTTACCCTGAATGACCCGGTGTTAAGAAGGGACAAGAAAATAGTCCAGCAAAGAGGCCAAAAGAAAGAGGAGCAGGAAAGAGTGAGGTCTCGGAAGATTGGGAGGCAGGACCACCAGGAGGCACCAGCCCAAACCACTGGGAGGCCACATAAGGCCTGAGGCCCAGCCACTGGATGTGGCATCAGGAAGGTTAACGCGGGACACCTTGGGACGACCGGCAGGCCTGCCTCACAGCAGAGCGGGGCCAGCAAAAACCAGCAGCAGGCACAGGACGTGTTGCTGAGCTCCCCGGGTCTCAGCTTCCACATCCATTAAATGGGTCTGAATTTTGCAGCCTAATGGGATCTCCCAGGGCAGGTATGAGACACAAGGG